GAAGCACTCGAAAATGCAGTGAATGAAATCAAGCTACACAACGGCTGTAATGCATCGATGCTAGAAGAACAGCGTAAGAAACAGTCAAAATCACTTTTTCAACAGACTGAAAAAAGCGATGACTCTGATGCTTCAAACAAGAAATTGGAAATGAACGATGATTCTACTTTAAAAACGCTGGAAGAAAATGCTGATGCTGTCCTTCAGGCCAATATTCTTCCTGAAATTAACGGCCTTAAGCGGACCGGAAAACCCTGCAATTCCAGACCACTAACAAATCAATTTTCCAAGACTGCTAACGGAACTCGTGAATCTGAAAGAACCGAAAACAATAGCAATGACGAGGAAGAAAATTCAGGAAGTGTTGAGGAGAATGAAAACAGCGATGCGCCTGATCTTGATCTCGACAAAAGTGACCTTGTATCCGGAGAAGCATTGAGCAACCGCAATACACAAGATGCACCTAGAAATCGCGCATCCCAGCTTTTTAAGAAGCCCACAAAGTCAGATGAGTCAGCCGCTGTAGCTGAGACAAAGTCGGATTCGCTAGAGTTTCGTGATGAAGAAAATATACACAAAGAATCTACTGCTAATCACGGTTCACTTAAATCGATTACGCGCTCAGACAAGTCCTACAAGTCGTCCACAGAGACCTCAAAATCCGAACTAACAGTGTCAAACACAGCCAGAGAATCAGAAACTCCGCAGAATAATCAAGAACCTGAAGAGTTTGTTTCCAAAAAAATTTCGGGACCGACAATTGGGCTTTACAGCATAATGTACAAATCTCTGGACAACTTAGCTGCCTATGTTCTCGAAACCCAACCAGTTATCCGAGTTCCTCAGAACGCCACAGCGATTATTTCCAGAACAAATGAAGACATGAGCAGAACAGCTCAAGCTGATAAGGAAAATGCGTCAACCCGATATATCGGCAACAACGCACCTGCTTTATTTGAAAAACTAGCCGCACGAGCTCATTCTGCGGTTGAACTAGCGCCAACAAGGTTACAAAAACAGCTGATCGGAATAGATCCAACAGGAACTGCTGAGGATAGAAGAGAAGCTTGGGATGAGGAGAAACTAAATCTCTCAGGCGTAAGTAGGAGACAAGAGAACATGAATGAGTTTGAAAGATTATCTGACGAGGTTCCAGAAAAGTTACCCTACGCTGCTGCAGTGAATGCTTATTCAGATATTATTAGAAATCGTGCATTTAAACCCCAAAACACACAAATCTTAAAATTAGCAAACAAGACGGAGCAAAAAAAGCAGCAAAATGAATATTATTCAAATCGCATTCAACAAAATATGACAGGGGAAGTTTTGTCCGAGAAACAGTACAGAAGTAATCAGCCACCAAAACTTCGAAGCCACCAGATACCGGAAGAATATCAGGATAAAACTGATCCTTTTGCTGTAGAAAACAATGAAAGTCAAGAGGGTAGCACAAACAAGCAGCCTCCGGACATTGCTGAAACAGATAAAGATTCTTTGAATCCTAATTATTTACATAACTACGGGGATTTAGAAAATTCTAACTATTTACATAACTACAGAAATTTAGCAGAAAAAGTGCAGGACATCTCGAAAAGCGACCACTCTCCTCAGGTACCTTGTTGCGATCCGCAGTCCAGAACTGCCGCACCTGATATGGAACCCATCCCATACGGAGAGTCTTTGAAGCAGACTGTTGCACCTGATAATCATCCCTCGTCGTCGGAAAAACGTTCTGAGGATTATTTGAGAAATAGTACGGCTCCTCCTGATGAGAGCGCTGTCATTCCTCAAAACAGAAGGGATTCCGAATCCATTCCCACTGTCACACCTAGTAACCCAGGTCAAACAGAGCAGAAGGAAGAACCGAAAGGTTACATGGGCTATAGTGATCTGAATACTGACCCCGGACCTGAAGATGAGAAACACCCTGATTCTATGGCAAATAATTCTGATAGCGAACAGATTCTTGGCAGGGGTAAAGCTGACGAAAACTCAGGAACAGATGCTACTTCCAGCAGTGCTCCTTTTACTGGAGCAAGCGTAGAAGTCAAAGAGGCATCTCACGTAGAAAGCAAAGGCGCATACCAGATCAAGTCTTCTTCGGAAGCAAATGTAGAAAATGATGGTTCATCTGAAAATAAATTTCTTCAAAAAGAGAATTTAGAATACTCTGAAATTGCTTCCATTCGCGAGAATGCTAATGTTCCCAGAAATGAGTGGATCTCAGGCTTGCCGTGCTGCGAAGAAACTTCGGAAATACCTCATTCTAAACTCACAGGAAATGCAATGATCGCTGTTGAGAAAAATGGGTATTCGTATGAGCCAGAAAGTGGACAGAACAACTGCTTACACAACGCTTTTTCCCCGTGCAATCTCGTACAAACCAATGAACAGCTGGTTAATTTCCAGAACAATAGTGCGTTGGAGCCGAAGAATACTAAGAACGATGAATTTTTAAAATCAAAAGAAGCAACAGATGATGAAAGGCCAACATATTCCTCAGGAATGGCAAATGGTGAAGCCGAAGCAACAGCGGCACTAGATGTGAAAACATCGCAGGAAAGAAAAGGGAATTACTACGGTGAAACAGATGCAGTGGAGGAATTGAAGGAATGTTCAGAAAGTGAAAAATTAGATAAGACAAAAGTTACAGCAAAAGAGAACTGTACGAAGCTCCGACAAAAACATAATCACGAAAATCAGCCATTTGTTTCTGAAAACTTAAAACCCTCTGAAGTAGCCGGCTATGAATCAACAAACGCAGACAATAGGGAAGAACGGGAAAATTCCATACCGAGTTTGGAACTTTCTGGATACAGCGCATCAGCAAATGAACTTGAAGCTAGCAACACTCCAGGAAACATTGCCCTTAGCTCAGAAACAATCACTGGAGGTGGCGAAAACGACAAAACTACTGATGCGCAAGGTTTAGCAGAGACCACGGACGAGCATGCTACAGCTGTCAGTGAACAAACAGCTCTTTATGAAGGATATTCTGATTCACTAAAAAACGAGGAAGCTAAACCTGTAGAAACAGTGAATGAAAAAGTCGCAACTACGAGCAGTCAAACAGCTGTTTATGAAGTATCTGCTAATTCACTGGAAAATAAAGGTGTTAAACAGGAAGCTGTGAGCAGTAATGAGATGCCTGGCAAATCTGCGGGTGCAGTATATGAGTCAGAAGGGGACCACAGAAGAGCTGAGAATGCAGTTGAGTGCTGTGGCGTCAAGCAAAGAAAAACAGATGAAACCCCAGTTGTGATTACTTTGCCCTCACTGCTGAATAAGTGGCGAGAGGAGTTCCCAGTGCCCAGAATAGCCGTTGAGCGAGTTTCGATGAGCTCTGGAATTACTGATGATGCAAGTGAAAATGGACCGTTGTTTGATATTCACAACCAGATGCTAGAGGATCAGGTGAGAACTCAATGCCTTTTTAGGTTTTTAGCATTTTGAAGGCGATATACTTTGGCGAAAATGTTACCAAAAAAGCTTCAATCCCGACTTTTCGCTGAACATGCGTGACACTCTCGCGACAGAGATCGTGGTGCTCTCTTCACACAATAAAGGTCATAACGGCTAACATATTTTTCCCAGCTTGTTTGGCCGCTTCTCGGCCGACACATGATCTCGCTGACAAAGCAGTTTTTGCAAATGAGTATGTGCTACCGGAAAATGTGCCGTATTTTGAGAGGCCTATTATACGAACCATTAAACATAGCAGGAGCAAAATGTAATGTAGCTGAGGTTCAGCTGGTAAAATACCATTCCGCAAGAGAAGGGCGAACACTTCCGCCTTCCCACATATTCGCTTAGGGCCACATGATTGCATAGATCCATTGCTGGCTCTGTTAAGACAGACACAATGTTAGTGATGAGAAGGTGTAAATCAAGCGTCTTACAACTCAAAAGTAACATCATTTAGGAATTATATTTGCTCATCTGTGTCCTTCCCATTTGCACGATCATAAAAGTTCTTTGAATGATATTTTCGAAATGTTGCCCTTTGAGCAGTTTTTTCATGGCACGGGGCAAACTGGAAAAAACTTTCCACTTTTTCCGCCAATTCAATGAAGATAAATTACGAATGTAATATTTGCTCTAATCGGAAGTTTGGCACGAACTCTTCACTAAAAGTGGCATCTATTTTCGTGCCAAGCCTTCTGCGCTTGCAAGCCGGTGTTTTAGGAAACGCAAGAGGAGAATTTGGAAGACGAATCGCAAAGACTGGACAAGTGCTCGCTAGAAAAAGACCACTTTCCGGCAGATCGATGTCGCACTTGGAAAGCAACCGGCTACTGCTACACTCATATGGCAACAAGGTTCATCCACTGTCGTCGCACCTGCTGCAATCAGTTTTTCTTGAAAATTCTTTGAGGAATTTTGCTATTCATATACTGATTTCTCTCGGAACAACTTTTTCGGCCATCAGTCGTGCTCTGTGGGTTCTTCGATTTTCTAAGAAAGTCGAAATAAGATTGAATAGAAAAATCTGGCACTTTAACATTTTTTGAGATGACCGTGTTCAGCGTGTTTTAAAAATATATCAAGAATATCAAGACCGCTCCAGCTACCAGTGTGGTTTTGCTAGATTGCCCTTACACGCTGAGCGTTGCTATGTCAGGCCCTTCGATGCTGAAAAACTAGATGCCTATCCCAAAGAACGTGGAAGGAATTCAAGAAATGCTTGTTTCCGAGTAGCGATATATGCTTTCCTTTTTTGTTTCCGATCAATCAAGCAGCTGTTCTAAGAAATTTCGATTTAACTTGTTAGCCACATTGTACATCAGCAGTTAAAATGAAAATGAGTTTGGTGTATTCTTTCTGGGCAAAAAAATTTGCTGGCCACTGAGAGGGGGCGCACTAAAAAGGGAGAAAGGATAGATTTTGCTATGAAAAATAGTGAAATCAGTATTTTCTGCTGTAGTGTGCTTTTGCTTTTATGTAAATGAAAACATATTTTTGTGAGGTAATTTTTATGCGCATACGTTTATTTATGCGTATGCATGTGTATAAAGTATTCATGCACGTGGCGTGCGTATGTTTGTGTACATGTTTTTGTGTACAAACGTATTTGCGGTTTATGATTCGAGAATCAAGAAAGATGCAAATTAGAATTTTTTGGAAATTATCTTCAATTGAATCAGGACAAATGTCTCGAATATAAATCTCAAATCCCAATGTTTTTGCGGCAGTGTGATATCATGCCTAAAATTTAATGAATTTTCCTACTAATTCGGAAACCTACAAACTGGAGACATGAGGTCTACGGAGGCAAAAATAGCGATTGAGCAGCCTCCC